ACCAGAGCAAGACCCCGTCTTTACTATAAATACAAAGAAATTAATTGGCCAACTAATATATATAGAAAAAATTAGCCAGGCATGGTGGCACATTCCTGTAGTCCCAGCCACTTGGGAGGCTGAGGCAGTAGGATTGCTTGAGCCCAGGAGTTTGAGGTTGCCGTGAGCTAGGTTGACGCCACGACACTCACTCTAGCCTGGGCAACAAAGCAAGACTCTGTCTCAAAAAAAAAAAGAGAATTGTTCATAAAAATAAAAAGAAAAACATATAAGAGATGAAGAACTCTTTCAAAGAGCTCATCAGTTGACTCAAAATGGCTGAGGGAAGAATCAGCAAACTTTAAGATAGAGCAACAAAAATTATCCAAACTGAAACGTTACTAGAAAAGCAAGTGGAGGGGAGCACCAAAGAACTGAGGGACAATATCAAAGAGTGTAACATACATGTAACTTAGTACCAAGAGAAGGCTGAAGAAATATTTAAGAGATAATGGCCAAGAATTTTCCAAAATGAGTAAAAGACAACAAACCACAATCCAAGTAGCTCAGGATAAACACACACACACACACACACACGTACACACACACACCTAGATGCACTCTCAAACTTTTGAAAACCAAAGATAAAGACAAAATCTTGAAGGCTGTCAGAAAAAAAAAGAACCATCACAGGAGCGAAGATAAGAATTACTACAGACTTCTCACCAAAAACTATGGAAGCCAGAGAACAAAGGAATGACACTTTTAAAGCACTGAAAGAAAAGAAAAACCTGTCAACACAAAGCTCTGTATCCAACAAAAATATATTTCAAAAAAGACTATAAGACAAAAGCTGAGAAGATTCATTATCAGCAGAACTGCAAAATGAGATATGTTAAATAAAGTTATTCAGGTAGAAGGAGTATGGTACTAAACTGAAAACTGGATTGGCACAAGAAATAAAAAACAGTGGAAATGGTAAAAATGTGGGTAAATATATGACCTTTCTCTTCTAAAACTTTCCTTAAAAGTTTATTGACTATCAAAGCAAATACTAGGCCAGGTACAGTGCCTCAAGCCTAGCACTCTGGGAGGCCAAGCTGGAAGGATTGCTTGAGCTCAGGAGTTAGAAACCAGCCTGAGCAAGAGTAAGACCCCTGTCTCTACTGAAAATAGAAAAATTAGGTGGGTATCATGGTACACACCTGTAGTCCCAGCTACTGGGGAGGCTGAGGCAGGAGGATCACTTGAGCCCAGGAGTTTGAGGTTGCTGGGAGCTAGGCTGATGCCTTGGCACTCTAGCCTGGGCAATGCAGTGAGACTCTGTCTTACAACAACATAACATAATGTAATATAACATAACATAACACTCCTGGCCTCAAGCAATCCTCCCACCTCGGCCTCCCAAAACGCTGGGATTACAGTTATGAGCCACTGTCTGATTATGTACATATATTGAAACATCACACTGTACCCTATAAATATGTACAATTATGTGTCACTTAAAAATAAAACTTAAAAAAAAGATGATGAAACTCTGAAGAGGGTGGAGAAAAAAAGGGCAAACTTGAGAAATATTCAGGAGGTAAAATTAATGAAACTTGGCACCAACTGGATTTGGAAATGAGGAGGAGGAGAAAAAAGGAAGAGAAAAAGGAGAAAGTGAATCCAAAATTCAAGAAAAAGGGAGGGAAACAAAGAAATGCCCTCAGTTTTACTCATACTAAGCCTGAGGGGCTGTGCGAGTGGCGAAGGGCAAATGTACAGCAAATATTTAGATGCACCATCTATAACTCAAGGGGAAAGTATGGGATTCTGTCAGTCTATAGGAGGCAGGCAGTAATTAAAAACTAAGGAAGTGGGAGTGCTGAAGGGGAATGACACAGAATGACAGCAAACAGCAGGCCAGGAATAGAACCCTGGAACACCACTGTTTAAGGAATGGGGAGAGGAAGAAAAAACACAAAACCATAACGGATACAGGAAAAAAGAAACAGAAGAAAACCAGACAAACAGACAAAAAGCGGCTAATATTAACTGATCATAAATATTCTAGGTTACTCTAAGATTAAGCCACAGTGAGGCTTTCTGACACTAAACAGCTTATAATTATGTCAACATATCTCTCATGCAATAAGGCGATATTTTATAAATATTAATTGACAGCCAATAACACTTTCTTTTACATTTTGACATAAATTTACTATTTAATACTCCAAATTAGAATATCCAAAAGGAATATGTTGAAGTAGAATTTAAAAAAGTGGTAAAAACCCTTAAATATTTATAGGTTGTATCATACTTATGTAAAGATATAGTAAGATCAGCTCTTTTAACAACTGTGGGAAGATCTGAACCCAGTAAGTTCTAAACTCATTTCCTCTCTCCTGAACACAGTAAATGACCCTGATACCACAAAAAATAAAAATAAAAAAAACCCTCGTAATTCTTGAACTATCCTATAAGAGCCACATATTAAGAGAAAAAAATTCACAGTTATTTTATAGATTCGATGTAATGAATAAGAAGGACTGAAAATAATGTACGGTGAATTGTAACTTTACTAAACAGATGAATTAGACTTAAGCTAACAAACTCTGTTTTAATACTTGCTTTCCCTGCCCTTGGCATTACTTACTACTGCCACCTAGCAGCGAGTCCAAAAACTAAGAAAATTGCAAAAAAATCATTCAGGATATAACTCCAGTCTCCAGAGAAATGCTTTAACATAAGAACTTAAATTTCTGCTGTTAACCATAACTGAGATTGAACTGAATTTTGTTTAGAAGTTCCTTCTTCCCCTGGCAACATAAATTATTACCTCCATATGAACTCCTAGATTTTACCTGATTTCTTCCCAAAATTCCAATCCCGTATTTCTAATGTGTGCCTAGACCCATATACCTGGACATGCTGTCAGAACTTCAAATTAAATATGTAACCAAGATGTAACTCACATAGCTGTATTCTCTATCCTTGTTAACTGCACAATCTTTGCAATCATGCAGGCTCAAAAATCTCAGAATCATTGATTAAAATGAAAGCAAAGGATAAGAGTCAACTAGCTTACAAATCCTGCCTTGTAAATCACCCTTCACATCCATTTCCCGGCTGTTTGCCCTGCCATTATTCTCCATTAGTTTCTCATGACCTCTCCTCTTCAACTGCAATAATTTCCTATGTGTCTGATGCAGAGTAGGACACGATGACTTCATTTAACATCTAACTGGTTCCTGGACAAAGATGACAAGAATAGGACAAATTCTTCCCACAGGAGAAGTTTCATATAAAAGAGTTTTGTTCTTAGAAACTAATTTCATGTCATCAAAAATATTGAAACCATTAACTGGGAAGTAAAAGCAAATACAATTAACCCTTTAATAACATGGGTTTGAACTTCAAGGGTCCACTTATACTTGGATTTCAAACTTGGATTGAGAAACCTGCACATGTAGAGGGCTGACTATGGGATTTGAGTATGGCCAGATTTTGGTATGTGGGAGGACAATCTCCCCCCTCAACTCCGCATGTACCTAGGGACCACTGCATATGATTTTACAAACATTTCTTAAGTATATAAAAGTAAATAATTTTTATAAAGTATCATAATACTCTTTTATTGTTTCTGCATTGGCTACAGATATTGAGTGAAAGTTTGAACATGTGAATTACTTGCTGTATTTTATAGACACATGAATATTTTAATACATAAAATGTGTTAGTTTACCCAGTAAAATATTTTTCCCACAATACAACTACAAAAACGGTTACTATTATACTTTTCCAGGAATCCTCCATCCTTAAGTTATCTAGATCCTACCCATGCTTCAAAATTTAGCTCAAATTCTGCTGGTACTTACATCTTAACCTAGCATAGTAAGTTTCTATGTCCTCAGAATGCCAAAATATTGTGTTGAATATTGATATACTAAATTTATTGAAATATTTATTTCTACATTTTACACATTTATATTTGTTTATCCCTACTATAAAGCATAAATTTCTTAAGGACAGTGAGCATGTTTTCCAATTCTTTAATATCAATCCTCTACCAGCCTGAGGCTAACTCAATAGACTGTCCACAAAAATCCTACTTCTGTTAAGAAGAATACGGAAATAAAAACACACACACAAAAATACACTAAAAAGAGGAAGACAAGGAGACAAAGATAAGGAACTACACATATATGTAAAACGATGACAGTTTAAACAGGAAAAGACTCACAAAAACAATCTTCAAGGCTCAGAGACAGCTACCGCCCTCAACCCTCCTTTTAAGAAAGCAAGGCTACTCTTACATAAGAAATAAACTGAATAGTAACAATATTGATAAAACATTCACAATCACAGCTTTAAGATCACTTCACCCCAATCTCCTAAAGTCTCAGAAAACCCAATGAAGGCATAATTGAGGAAACTAAGGGAAGGGTTAGGATTTGGAAACATCACCTTATAGTTTTACACAGTACCCTATATGCAGAATGCATTCAATAAACACTTGATGGTTTGAATGCAATTTAATAGCAAGTCCTAGAAAGCCAAATTCTAGAATTAATATGTTCAAAATGTTACTTTTCTTACACAAAATATATAGGATCAAACTATCTCAAATTTTCAGAATGCAGTTAAGTATTATATTACGTGCATGTTTACGATATAAACATGATTTTGAGGCAAAAAAATACGTCCATTATTTTAACCATTCAAGATTTTTAAAAATTAACCCCATAATTCATAAATTGCATTCTTCCTATTTTTAGAATAGCTCAGAGGATTTGTGTGATTCTCAAACTCCTTCTTAGTTCCTAAGAAAAACCTTAATTTGATTTTATAATCTTAGAGGAAAACGAGGAGAAAGTTTAAATGGAATAGAACAGCTTCATAAAAGTAATTCAGTGATACATTAAATATGAGTTAATGATAGGCTAATGAAACCACAGGAGAATAAAAAAAGATCAACCAATGTGAAAAACTTAGCTTTAACACCTATTCTTCTATCTGTCTTCCTTTTTTGAGAATAGATTGCTGTCACCCATGCTAACCACTTTCAGTCTGAGTAATGGAGGGCTGGAGGATCCTTGAAGAAATGAAAGGGCTCTGACAGAATCATAACCAAGATAAAAATATTCTGACAAAAGCCAGGAACTGGAAACACATTGGGAAATGAAAGAGATCATCTCTAGATGGACCTAGTCAATATGAAGGAGTTGAAGAGGTGTGACTGCAGAAAAGGAGGGAGTATTTTAACGGTAAAAGATCTGTAATGGTGACAGGTGCAATAAAAGCACCAACTTCAGCATTATACAATTCATCCTGGTAACAAGAAACTTGTACCCCCTAATATTTTGAAATAAAAATTATAAAAATAAAACAACAAAAATAAGATCTTCACTGGACATGTGGAGGCTTACTTTTTGGGGGGTGTGACCTTTAGTTAATCACAGATCCTATCTGAACCTTGATCTCCTCACATTACCACTTGTTCTATTTGCTGGTTCTTTTGTAATGCATCCATGACATAACAGTAACTAACATGTATTAAATTCTTGCTATATGCCAGGCACTATTCTAAATATATGCAGTATATACGCATTATATGTAACAGTATATATGCATTATATATAACAATATAAATGCATTATATCTCATTTAGCCTTCCAGACAAGCCTATATAATAGGTGCACCTATAAAATAGGTGCACTTCCTGTATTTTATAATTAGGAAAGCATGGCTTAGAAAGGATTGGCAAATTGTCAAATATTGCTCAGCTCACAGAGGCAGAGCAAGGATTGGAACTCAAATCTGATTCCAGAACCCACACTCTGAAATACATACTTACACTTCTCTCAAATGATATACAGCATCGGTCCTCAACCTTTTTAGCACCAGGGACCAGTTTCATGGAAGACAATTTTTCCACAGACCGGGATGGGGTGGGGTATGGTTTAGGGATGATTCAAGCACCTTACATTTATTGTGCACTTTATTTCTATTATTATTACATTGCAATATAAAATGAAATAATTACACAACTCACCCTAATGCAGAATCAGTGGGAAGCCTGAGCTTGTTTTCCTACAACTAGATAGTCCATCTGGGGGTAATGGGTGACAGCAACACCGAAGTGCATTGCTTATGTCCACTCTACTCCGTAATCTTGTTTTGGTTGCTGCCACTGCAGAAAACCCTGCTTTACAAAGATAGGATGTTGGAAATGGAAGCAGGCTTTTCAGTGCTTTTGTGGCAATTTCAGGATGATACACCTTGACTTTAATCCAGAATATATGGAGATTTGAAATTGTCTCAAACATGCTTTTAAGGCTACCATTTGTGATCTCAAGCAGTTAATCCTCTTCTACCACAAAGTTGACTCACCTGGCTTATTCACAAATGGGTCATAGATCTACTCCTTCCCAGATCGGGGGTCTTTTGTGGTTGGAAAGTAAACACAGTTGTCATTCTCCCCTGAAGTGACAGATTGAGTTCATTGAGCATGTTGAATATGTCACACAAGTAAGCAAGTTTTGCAACCCATTCTGCGTCACTGAAATGCGCTACCAGTCGTGACGGTTTTTGTAAAAGAAATCTCTGGAGCAGCTCTTGTAACTCAAAAACTCTGGCCAGTGATCTACCTTTAGAACACCATCTCACTTCTGTCTATAAGAAAAGATGTGTGTGCTCTGTGTCCATCTCCTCAGAGCTGCACAAACAGACATGAGTTAAGGGTATATACTTTAATGTGGCTGATAATTTTAAATACATCCTGCAAAATGTTGTTTAGTTCAGGTGACATTTTTCAGCTAGCAAGCATTTTTCCATGGGTGACACAGTGCGTAGACTCACATTCAGAAGCAACCTCCTTGACCTGAGTAGTGAAACCAGAAAGCCGTCCAGTCATGGCAGTAATTTCATCCATGCATGTACCGATGCAAAATGACCATTTTGGTTTTCCTGATATGTAATCATTCAAACGCTTGAAAAGTTCCACAGCTGTAATGTTGGCTGGCAACAAAAGTGCACATAATTGGCCAGGCACAGTGGCTCACGCCTGTAATCCTAGCACTCTGGAAGGCCAAGGCAGGAGGATTGCTTGAGGTCAGGAATTTGAGACCAGCCTGAGCAAGAGCAAGACCCCATCTCTACTAAAAATAGAAAAATTAGCCAAGCATAGTAGTGTGTGCCTGTAATCCCAGCTATTCAGGAGGCTGTGGCAAGAGAATTGCTTGAGCCCAGGAGTTTGAGGTTGCTGTGAGCTAGGCTGACGCCAGCGTACTCTAGCCCAAGTAAGAGAATGAAATTCAACCTAAAAAAAAGAAAAAAAAAAAAAGAAAAAGAAAGTGCACATAACATATCCTTATGCAAATCCTCCTGAAAACTACATCACACAAAAACAACCACGGTTGCCTTGTTGTCAACATCAGTAGACTTGTCAACCTAGATTGCATACCACAGTGACTCTTAATCCTAACAATTGTACCTCAATATCCTCTGCTATTTCATCAATTCATCTAGTTATGGTGCTAGCCAAAAGAGGAACATGTGCCACGTTTTGAACTGTAGCCTATCCTAAAAGTTCATGACAAATGTCTTTAGCAGCAGGCGGATCTTCACCAATAGTAAATGGCTTCTTAGCTTTAGCAGTGCAGTTAGCCCCTAAGAATGATGTTCTCAGTACAGACACCTTTGATGAAGTGGCGGCCTTCAATAATTGCTTCTGTTCTTCGTGTTCACGTTTTTTTTCATTTGAAAAACTCCAAAGCTTGTCTTTTAGTGCAAGGAGCTTGGTCTCCATGTAGCAAAGCAGTTTTGAAGGTCTCATGGTTTTGTTGGATAGCCCACTGCCACATATTATACAAAGCCAAGCTTAGAGAATGTGAATCACCTGTTGCAATGAATCCATAATTTGAGAGACTCTTGGAATTTTTTTCTTCTTCTTTCTTTTTTTATTCTCAAGAAACTGAAATCTATCTTGGAATTTTTTTTTAAATGCAGTTTTCATTTTGTTGGCAGTCTTAGATCTTCTGCTGTCACATCATTGGGTCTTTCCCCTTTTTCAAAGAAACTCTCTCGTAATGTTTGTTTTTTACTCATTTCTGCTAGGGTTAGCTTGTGGGCTTACTAAAACTGTGACTGAGACTAGTGCACCATGGATAGAAGTGATAAATAAAATAATGCGCTGGCCATGCATGGACTAAAATAAATGTTGGATTCTGACTTAAAGCCTGCCACCAGATGCAGCTATACAATTTAAGTAACATGCTCACTTGCCACTATAAAGCCTGCCACAGATGCAGCTTAATTGTCACTTGCCACTCACTGTTGGGTTTCCATATGAGTTGGGAAACAAATGATTTATTATGGTCTCTGTGCAATCAAACCTCTCTGCTAATGATAATCTATATTTGCAGCCCTCCCCAGCACTAGCATCATCACCTCAGCTCCACCTCAGATCATCAGGCATCAGACTCTCATAAGAAGCATGCAACCTAGATCCCTCACACATGCAGTTTACAGTAGGGTTTGTGCTCCTATGACAATCTAATGCTGCTGCTCATCTGACAGGAGGCGGAGCTCAGGCGGTGATGCCAGCGATGGGGAACAGCTGTAAGTACAGGTGAAGCATTGCTTACTTACCTGCTGCTGACCTCCTGCTGTGCAGCCCAGTTCCTAACAGACCTCAGGCTGGTACTGGTCCATGGCCCAGGAGTTGGGGACCACAGATATAAAGCATATATTTTACAAAGCATTTTATAATAGTCATTCAAATGCAAAGTGTCCTCAGGATTCTTATTTGTACTAACTGAAATAAATCATAATTCAAACCAAGCAACATACAATTAAAATATTTAAAGCATGCACATGTGGAAATCCTTAAAACTAATAAACATTTTTCTTAAGATGATGAAAATATCATGGATATGAAATCCAGTGCAAACTGTGGTTGACTGAGGCAAACACTCAAGCTTCCAAGTATTTATAGGCTTAAAGAAAGAGTATCAGTTGTAAGACATAATAAATTAAAAATATCAGCCAGCCTCTGAAGCTTTCTCTTTGCTATTATTTCCCATTAATACTTGATAAATTTTAGTGAATAAAATCAACAAGAAAAAAATTATTTAACAGTTTGCCAGGCACTTTTTTAAGCACTTCAAATATTCACTCATTGAATTTTCCTAACATTCTATAAGGTACTAATTATTATCTAGTTTCACAAATGGGGAAACCCAAGTACAGAGTAGTTACAAATAAATAGCCCAAGATCACACAGCTAATAACTGAAGCCGGAATACAACCCAGGCAGTTTCTGTGCTCTTAACCATTAGCTTTGCTGCAATTCAAGGCTATTCTTTTTTAAAAGCCAATAAACTAATAACAATCAAGAAGAATATCCACAAAGAGAATGGAACCATCACTTACTCAATATATACAGATTAACACTAAAAAAACATGTAAAAGAAATATCTTAACTGACATGATAGATTAATCTAAATTATCAAGAAAATATTTTAAACTATAATGGCACACCAAGCTTTTCAGTCTTTAAAGAGGTTGCTTTTAATTTTCCTATGAACTTTCAGAGTTAGCAAGGCAAAATAAAATCTGAAGGCACACCAAAAAGACTTGATGGAATTTTTATCATTTTTTGGTTGTCAGCTTACGAAGAAGCAAAACTGTGCTAGAGCTTTAAAAAAAAAAAAATCACATGAACCAGTGGAGTTCATAACAGAATTAATGCTAAATTTGAACGCTTTCAAGGTACAGTAAGTAATATAACCCACTAACCTTACATTTTATGAAAGAATTTCACATTTTACAAAGGACTACAGTATCTATCATTTTGTCTGATTCTCACAACTCTGTAAGTTAAGTAGGATTAGTACTATTATCATAGTTTACAAATGAGTAAACCAAAGCTCAGAAAAGTTATATATTTTACATGGTCTAGATAGATCTTGTGACCCCAAGTGATTCCTTCTATCACACCATTCTGCCAACAATTTTATGCTTTACGCTTGTTATTACATAAAGATTAATGTTAAGCCAAAAAACTTGGAAAATACAACAGAACATAAATGGAGTGTTTTGTTCTTTAAAATGTTAATAGAGTTTTACTAATTATCACTAGCTATACAATTTATCGAGCTAGAATGATGAATCGGCCCTGCCAAAATGAACTTGGAACCCAAGAAAAATCTGCATTTAAAGCTAAGTGAATCCAATTTTAAATGCTTAGATGTGAAATAATGTGGCCCTAAAACAATACTATTTTTCAGGAGTTTAAAAAAAAATCACTTATAACTATCATTCATCTCAGTCACTGACATTTATTGTAAACAAAGTAAGACAACTGACTATCTCAAGAAACAAAGGGTTGGTGAACCAAATGTGAGCATTTAACAAATAAGTGAAATAGCTTAGGTTTGGATTAGTGGGGAGAATTTCTTTTGAAAAGTCATACAATTAATCAAGAAAATCCCCAATAAACTGTACTTTAAGTGTAAAAAAATAAAAATTTTGTGGCTTATCAACTGCATACTATATCCTCACATCTCAAAATTAGATGGCAGACCACTCACATTGGGCTTGCAAAGGAGTTGGCCCAAATCTAGTTTAAAAAAATAATAATCTCTTTGGAAAAAGTTTATGGGAATATTGTGAAATTTTTTCTTTGTCCTCA